CGCGCCTTGGCGCTCGGAGGACGGCCGTCTGCGCCCCCTCCGGGACGCCGGGGGTGAGCTGGCCAACCTCAGCCAGGCGGAGCTCGTGGACCTAGTACAATGGACCGACTTAATCCTCTTCGACTACCTGACAGCCAACTTCGACCGGCTCGTAAGCAACCTCTTCAGCCTGCAATGGGACCCGCGCGTCATGCAGCGTGCCACCAGCAACCTGCACCGCGGTCCCGGCGGGGCGCTGGTCTTTCTGGACAACGAGGCGGGCTTGGTGCACGGCTACCGGGTGGCAGGCATGTGGGACAAGTATAACGAGCCGCTGTTGCAGTCAGTGTGCGTGTTCCGCGAGCGGACCGCGCGGCGCGTCCTGGAGCTGCACCGCGGACAGGACGCCGCGGCCCGGCTGCTGCGCCTCTACCGGCGCCACGAGCCTCGCTTCCCCGAGCTGGCCGCGCTCGCCGACCCCCACGCTCAGCTGCTACAGCGCCGCCTCGACTTCCTCGCCAAGCACATTTTGCACTGTAAGGCCAAGTACGGCCACCGGTCTGGGACTTAGTGTCACCCGGAGGAAAAGAGACCTGGGGCTGGGGTATGGATGATGGGGGGAAGGGCCGTCGCCTCTGCCACTGTCGGGGACCAGCCGGCCAACGCCCACCCGCAAAGGTGTCTAAAAACTTAAGCTCTTCACCCACCTGCCCCTTTCTTTCAATCCCACGCTGTTTCCTTTCAAAGTTCTGGGAGGACGAACTCACCGAGGCGAGAAGTGTAACATTCCCTCCACCCAGCTTATAAAAGGATTCTTTCCTGTGCCAGCACGGAGATTGGATCCGAAGAAACTGGCTACTGGGGTTTGGCCCCCGAGTGGCCGTCCCTGTGGGAGATGTACCCCATTCTTGGGCCCCCCTCATTCCCTTTCCGAAAAAGGAAAATTTCCGTTTGAGCTGTTGAGCTAATTCTGCAATTTTCTACCAAACACAGCGCTGGTGGCCCCGGAGCAGGGCTGTGACATTGGCTGGTGGAGCCCCCTTCCTGTGTTCTCCCTTTGTTCCAGCGCCGCGATGGTGAGATCACTGTTCCAAGCAGGGGGACGGCTCCCGATAGGACAAAGAGAGCAGGACCTCCAGACTCTGGGGAGCCCTGCAGACCTTGACAATTTGCCTGACTCATTCCTGACCTCTTGTCATTTTGGCCTGAAGGCTACAAATTCAGGGCCAGCTGTATGCACTAAGTGAAATATAATGAATTTCTTCTTCCTCCCACTCCCAACCGACCAAAATTTTGACAATGATGATGTTCACCAGAAGGAAAAAAAAAATCAGTTTTATGCACTTTATTTTGTTTTTATTTTAATTTTTTATTAAGAAAAACTTTTTATTTTACAGAATTTACCTTCTCTGTATATATGTGCATAAAGTGTAAATATACTAAACAAACTTATATTTCAATAAAAGGGGGTTTAAAATTTATAATTTAATTACTGTGGTTTTAACTTGTTTGATATTTCTGATGCCCCATCTGCTTTCAGAATAAGATTTAGGTTTTCTTTCTTGTGGATGTGCTTTTAAAACAAAGGATGCATATCCATTCCAGTTGTGACTACGGAACTTACGGAATTGAACAAAGATAAGAGCAGACTCCCTGTCCTCACTCAGATGAACCTTGGTGCTAGAAATTTGAGTTCAGCCTAGAATGTGGGGGGAGATGGGGAGAGAGATGGGAGGAAAGTGTTCTATTTCCTGGCAAATAAAACTTTGATATGAAAGGGCTTCACTGTAATATATTCCTATATTAATCATTTGGCAAATATGATAGAACCAGATGTGGGGACTAAAGTATGACAAACAGTGCCCTTTTTAAACTTAACTACAGTCGTCACATGTTGCAAATTATTTTCAGCATTGTAATTACAGTGCATTGCAATGTGTACAGATAATAAGCTGAGCCCACATTGGGAATGGGTAGAGAAAGTCATAAATTAATTCTTCTCTTTAATCTCCTGGCATAAATTCCAATGGATTCAGAAGATCATAATCTCCAACATCTGGACTCATCCAGTTCTCTGAAGAGGTTGTACTGTTTTCCGGGTACTAACTGCATGGTCTCCTCAGAGCAGCCAGTGTGAGACCATGAAGGCTTACAGTACTTTGTGTATGACATTTGGACCCTTTTTAGGACTTCAAACAAACTATTTTTGGATTTTTAACTCAAGAGGAAGAGGTTGACTTTTATTTTACAGCCCTTGGTGTTTTATTTTGGCATTTTCTTTGGTATCTGGGCCCAAGTGACCTTGCCTGTTAGCTTCTTTTTATTTAATGACCTTTAACTCAAATCATCTTTTGGTTAAAACTTTAATAGTTTTTTATTTGACTTGCATTTGTAAAACTAGGGTTTTATAGACTCAGAAAGCTATTAAATCTCTGTGGGTTCCCCTTCTCACTCTGCATTACAACGGAGTGTGTAATTTAACTATTTAATGTCATCCTTATGTTTTCAGTGCCTTTTGCTAAGCCAAATCTTAGCCTTAAAAAAAAAAATAGTCCTGAAACTGTGGTGTAAGTCAAGTGTTTGCACAGTACAGCCATAGAATGTACTGATAATGGGAAATTTATCTTTTTTCAAGACATTGTTAATGGGATACCTCTCATAATTACACCTTTCAGAAAGAAACATTTTCCATTTCGGGTGCTTATTTCACTGTTAGATTTGCTGCTTTCGTTAATGGAGGCTGTTCCAAGAACGGGACAAGTATTCAGCAACCTGCATTTTTACCCAACATATTCATGGAGGAAGACAATGAGCAGTAATAAGTTAGAAGTTTCACAGATTGCACAGGAAATGCATCCTGGCTCCCACGAAGATTCAGCACTGGTGAGTTCTGGGCCAGCCGCATTCTCCACATTCTTTCTAAACTTCAGTTCCAAGCCCAGACTTGATCGTGGTTAACCCAGAGCAAAACACTAAGCATAATTTAAATGGCTCTTCTCAGATTCTTTAGTGAACCGTGTCTGCTTGTTCGAGAAATAAGTTTAATTACATGGTGGAGTTGTTAATGGAACCAAGACGTAACTACAGAGTGGGTTTTAACTGTTGCTGTTCCTCATGGATAATAGGTAGGCTGTGGCATGGAAAGATCAATTAAAGTTTCGCCATGGTCAGTGAATGCTGCTAGGGACAAATTTCTCAAATGAACAACAACAACAACAACAAAAAAAAACCTTTCAGACCACAGCATGATTTGGAAAGAGTAATGGGTTCTACAGGCAGACAATATTCTGAATTCTGTTCCTTACCTACCTTCAGCAAGTCATTTAACTTAGTTCCCTCATCTGTGAAATGGAGATTCGATCAGAATATTGTGTGATTTAAATATTAACATATAAAACATACAAGCACATACAGGTGCTTACAAAAACAAAAACAAAAAATCCTCACTTCCTGTTCCTCTTTAAAAAAAAACAAAAAAACAAAAAACTTTTGCCCTTCTTACACTTCAGTAATTTCCATCATCAAACCCAAATCTGGCTGTTTCCAAGGTCGGTATCAGTTTTAAACATGTGGTAGTAAATTAATTCAACAAATTGTTTACTAAGGACCCTCTTCCAGCACTATGCAAGGCACTGGTGCATAAGGTCAAGGGCACAGGTCCACTTGGGTTTGAGTGGGTGATTTCAGGACCCAAGCAGACTTCGGCACCAAGGCAGCTATACTACAAATATATGAGGGTGGCTTAAATTTAAAAAAAAAAAAAAAAAAAAGCAGATGGCTTATTGCAAATCCATCACCACTTCTGGAAAGCTTCAAGAAGTGATGAATCTTTGCAAGAACAACCCTCTTCCCTATTCCTTCTGCCAAGAGAAAGTAGGCAGTTGACCTTTTCTCCCTGGATTTGACTTTTGATTAATTTGCTTTGTCAATGACATAGTTCTAAACTCTATTAAGTGTACTCACCCTCCTGTCTTCGAATCAGAAAGAAAAACAAATTATTTTAACACATCTCAATGCTTCTCAACCTTCTGCCTATAATTGCAGCTAGGAGAGTCCTCTAAGACCTTGAGGTTGATTATGTGGATTAAATGAGTAAATATTTATAATATTGTCAGAATAGTGCCTGGCACACAGCAAATGCAATATAAGTATTTATTGGTGAGGTAGAACATTTCTCCTCTAACTCAAAAACAGGCACCTTACGTTCCAGACATGATCCTCTTTCATAATCCTGTTCTATCTCTGCAGTTATAGAACACGATCTACACACTTCTATTTTGACCCAGGAAAACCAACTAGAGTGCTTGAGTTTGGCAGGAATTACCCAGAGCCCACAGCTGTCAGCTAGCTGTCTTGTTTCTGAGCATGCCATCTAAGTGAGTGGTCATATGTGCTTCCCTCTTTTTCACAAGGAGGCTGTAATTCTATTCCTCATGTGGCTCATCAGCTCCAGGGAGCAGTGAGCTGTGGAACTGCAAATCTTGTGAGCTACCATGAGCTGTCCATGAGTCATGGATCATCCAAGCCTAAGCGCTGATATTTTGCCCCTGCGCACGCCAGCCCGCATCACACAAAATCGCTGATCCCAAGTGGTAGAAGGGCTGTGGGAATGCTAGAGATGGAGAAAAGGAAATTCAGAGCATAGGACATGCTCCAAAAGAGAATATAATGTCAGCTGCCAAGGCAGTATGGAAATCAAAGGACAAGGGTTGATGTCCGCCTTCAAGCATATTTTAGGCATTAGAGTCTAATGGAAAGGATACTGAGAGACAGGAGACCTGGGCTACTTCTGACACACTGTCTGACTTGAGAAAGTCATTTGCCCCTCTGGCTTCAGTTATCTTCCCTGCAATGGGAAGGTATTTGATTAGGCTGATAATTTCCAATATTTTGGACCAGAACTCACAGTAAGACACACATATTTTATATTGTGACCTCTGTTAGACAGAGAGACACACACACTCATACACTGAAACAAAAGTTTCACAAAACAGTATGTATAACATACTTTTTCTCTTTCGTTGAATGTTATTCTATTCCTTCTCCTCCTCTATTTCCTAACGCTAACTGTGGCCCTCTAAATTGATTTCATAAGTCATCGGTGGGGCACAGGCTGCTGCACTATGCAAAACACTGGATTAGATCATCACCGTAGGCTCCCTTTCAGCTCTAAGATTCTAGGGAAATTCCATTTATAACCAGATTACTACCTACTACAATATTTCCCCAAAGGCAGTACAAACAGACTTCAATTTTGTACACTCTTTAAAAACAAAAGACTGTAGTGCTTTATTTCAAAATGTCATTGGGAGAACTGCTCAAAATCTTACATAGGGTCTTTCTATAAATACTTGAAAAATTCCCTAAATATAGGAGGTGACTTTCCATCTGTTCCAACCTTGGGTGAGCAAATAGTGCTTTGAAGCAAAAATAATAATAATAATCTTTTGCATCTCTGTCTCAACATGGCCCAAGGATGACTCAAGAGGACAGTTTCTCTTCCGTGTATTCATAAAGATCAGATGTAGGAGTCATAATTTTTTAATGTGACTGTTTTACCAGTTTCTCTTTCTGTGTCCTGCTGTGGGGGAAACTGCATTAATAAACTATGTCTTAATGCTGCCTAGCTAGAATTTTTTTCTCTGCAGGACTCCACTAAATATAGCTAAAGGAATGCTCATTTTATTTATCTTTCCAACTTTCTTTCCATTTTGAATATGTCTTCTTGACACTTTGGAAAATTTTCTCCTAATGGCACCTTAGTGTTTTTTTGTTTTTTTGGTTTTTTGGAGAATAGAGAACTAATTGTTCATTGAGTAACAACAACAAAAAAGAACTCCTTTTTTCTCTTTCATCTGTGCCATATGGAGTCTTTTATGGTTTTATCAGTTATTTTACACCATATGCGGAAAAATAATGTAGAACTGGCATTTTTCCAGTACCAAGTCACGGATTTTACTTTGCTGAGAAACTGTGGGTTAAAAAATAGAGAGGTGTCACTTTTAATTAGATAGCCCTACACCATGCATTTGTCTTTGCCTCTTTACACCTTCCTCATGGTGATTTTTTTCCTTTTAATATCCATTAAAGACTTTGTCCTCACCTCACAACTGGCCTGGAAAGGCAAAGTGACCGGGGAATGATTAGTCATGACCTCTTTTTTTCTTCTTTGTGGTAAATATACATAACATGAAATTTTTTTTTTTTTTTTTTTTTAGACGAAGTCTCGCTCTGTCACCCAGGCTGGAGTACAGTAGCGTGATCTCAGTTCAGTGCAACCTCTGCTTCCCGGGTTCAAATGATTCTCTTGCCTCTGCCTCCTGACTAGCTAGGATTACAGGCATGCACCACCATGCCTAGCTAATTTTTGTATTTTTTTGTACAGACTGGGTTTCACCATGTGGGCCAGGCTGGTCTCGAACTCTTGGCCTCAAGTGATCTGCCTACCTCGGCCTCCCAAAGTGCTGGGATTACAGGCGTAAGCCACCA